TCAACTCCCCTCTGCTGTCACCCACACAATGCTAGATTCTAGTCCAGGCTAGACATGCCTCCAACCACAATGTACTAAGACATGGGGAAAGGTATCAGGCCCTGTTGGACACTTGACCTCCTGACAAGGACACACAGTTACTGCTTATTTCAAACACTCCTGGATTCTTCCTGCACTGACATACAATACCAGGTATAAAGCAGCACTGGACACTACAGCCATGCCACCTCACTTGAACTACCAGCTGTCAGGCCAGATAAACAATCCTGAAATCACACACACACACACACACACACACACACACACACACGCACACGCACACGCACACGCACACGCACACGCACACGCACACGCACACGCACACGCACACGCACACACACACATACACACACCCTCTAATACACTTCTAAGTATAAGGCCATGCATGACTTCCCACCAAACCACACATTGACTGCTAGGTATCAGGCATTGCTAAACAAACCCTCACACATACCTCACATGTATTCCTAGGTCTGGATCCAAAATGTAACCCACACAATTCTTTATTAACAGCTACTTATCATGCCATACAGGACACTCTCTTGCCACTGTACCCAAATACTCTGCTAGTATTTGTACCCAGTTGACACCCTAATATCACTGAAATTCCACATACACTGCTAGGGTTCATGTCCTCTTGAATATCACACCCAACCACTACAATCTACAATATTAGCATCAGGGCCCAAAGGATATCACATTTCATCAACCCATATATCCCTGTTGGATATCAGACCTGCTGGGCATTCCAAACTCCATGGCAACTCCTACCAGGCTAGCTGGAGGCCCTGGAATGCACACATCACCCTGCAGCCCTCACATGCACTGTCAGGTGTCAGGCTCTGCTGGCTCCCTCAATGCCTCACACATACTCGGAAGTGTCAAGCACACTTGGACATCACATTGCACACTGCCAACGTACTTCAAAATGTGATCAGACCTTGACGGACACCAGCTCAGCCATGAGCTGACACATACTCAGTAGGGATTGTGCAGAGCTTGACACCCCATTCTTCCACTGCTCCCCTCTGATGTAATACAATTAGCATCAAACATACTGGACACACCACCACCCCTGTGACCACACATCCACTCTAGGTACCAGGTCCAGTTTGACCTCATACCCCACATTAATCTACAGCCATCAGACCATGTGGGGAACATTCCCCCTGTCAGGTCTTGCACAATACCTAGCAATTAGCATTGACAGACCCCCTCCTTCTGCTGAAGACACACCCACACTGCTAGGCATCAGCTTCTACTGGACTCCTTCCTATGCTATACCATGTGCTGGGTCTCAGGCTCTACTGTTAGTTACTGGGCCACGCTGGACATTAACATCCTGTCTAAACCACAGTGCATATAAAGTGCTGTGTGTCAAGTTCACTTGATCACAAGCTTCATCACACACGACTTGCTAGGTACCAGACAATGTTGACACACACCCTTACCCCCTATATACACTACTGGCCCAGTGAACATTGGAATTTTAAATGCTCTTCTAGACACCTCCATCCCTGACATATCAAGTTTCTTGCTAACATACTCCTACTACCACTCTGTGCAGATTTCAATCATGTGTATTGAAGTATATTGTATGCATATACAATAATTGGCTTCAAGTCTTACCCAAAATAGCACCATTCTGCTGACAACATACACTACCAGACAGGAGCATGGGTCTAAGCACAGCTGAAAATTTGCAGGGCTATTGTGGCAGCAGGATGGATGTAGGAAGAGAAAATTATTAGATGA